AACACCCTCGCTCGCTGCTCCGGCATCGCGACCAAGTCAAATCGCCTACTTGCTCTTTTACGAGGAGCTGGTTACCCAAACATTCTTGCTGGTACCAGGAAGACTACACCAGGTTTTCGACTTGTAGAGAAGTACGGCATGCTGGTGGGGGGCGTGGACGCGCATCGAGTTGATCTTAGTGCAATGACAATGCTGAAAGACAACCACATCGTTGCCGCAGGGAGCATCACCAATGCTGTAAGAGCGGCCAAAGCAGCTGGTGGCTTCGCAATCAAAGTCGAAGTTGAATGCCAATCGTTTGATGAAGCTGACGAGGCGATTGCCGCTGGCGCTGACATCGTCATGTTAGACAACTTCACCCCAGAAGGTGTCCAGGTTGCTGCTAAAGACTTGAAGGATAAGTGGGGACGGGGTACTGACGACAGGAAGCAGTTCCTCGTTGAAGTGAGTGGTGGGCTTACAGAGTACAACGTGGAGAAGTACGTCTGCGGCGATATTGACATCGTGAGCACCAGTAGCATACATCAAGGAGTACCACACGTGGATTTCAGTCTGAAGATCGTACCGAAAAGCAAGAAGGATGGAGGGGAGAGTTTGGCAGTATGACCTGACGGCGGGCGAGGGGGACTCGTTAGTGATCCTTGGGTACATTAAGATATAGCTCACTAATTCATCGTAGTTAGTCAAGACATAAGTCACCGGTCAAAGACATGGCTTTCGCCATTATATTAATTCCCGGAACTGTCACGCATTCGTGCCATGACCGCCGATGCTGAAGTAAAGACACTTACCCTTCTAGCAAGGATAATCACGGGTTCAAGCAATCGCTGTCCGTGCTAATCCTCAATACGACAAGATCATCGATGAAAGCGCTCTTGTAGTTGCTGCCTCCCAACATGTGGTTCCACAACGCCATCGACTGTAATACGTGGCCGTGTTATACCCCTGCTCCGGCGTCATCTAGCCGCTCTGCGCCGCTCCTTCGTCTGTATCAAACTCTTACAACCAATCTTCTTCGTTACGCTTACCTACGAGTCCTTTGATCTTCTCAACCGGCGGGCCTGATTTCCGGTGAGGTGGTACGGATCCGCTTTCCCTGCGTTTTGCCGTCATCCCTGCCATATATGCTAGATAACTCGTGCGTCCGCCGAATACATGCGACGGTCTCAACCCATAGGTCGCTGTCCTTCTCCATGGTCTCGTCTGTCTACTTTGAGTCGAAGGGCTTCTCGTTGGTCGTACTGGATCGATGTACATCATGGCGAGGAGACTGACTACGCTGGTTGCCCACGCCCTTGACGCCCCGGCCATATTTTACGGTCAACATTACTTAGATTTGGAATCTTATCCAGCAGTGGGTATACAAAGTCAAGGAAAGCTTTGTCACTCCCTTGAGTAGCATTAGCAAGCGCTGGTGAGAAGTATAGCAGTTGGACCCCATAACAGTGGGCCTATATGTGGTCCTGGCGCGAAGCGTGCCTAATGAGCAGCTTCCGCGAAAGTTTAAGAATTCAGGCTCTAAGCGAACTACCTTTGCTTCGCTTACCTTCCGTGTGCGCAGTAGTCCAGACACGAAGGAACGACATCCTCTCGCTTCAATATCGTGTTGTAAATTACCATGCTTGCACTGCATGAAGCCAAACCGCTTTCTATCGACCGCCATGTAGAGCTCCGAATCCTACATCGGCCAGGCCGGGTGACAGAGCACGCATATGCACCATCTCACGTATATATAGGCATGGAGAAAACAAGTATAAACGTGTGAGCTGTGAGCACCCTCTTCGCACCATCGATCAGTCGTTCATGAACCTCAGCTCCATCAAACCCTACGATATAATTGCTCTCCTCGCTTTCTTAATATGCAACACTTCAACACCATCCTGGCCCTCGCTGCTGCAGTGTCAGCTGTCGATATCAAATCGCACGGCGAGTCACACTGCAAAGGGGTTACCCACACGTATGTGAACGCCAACCCCAACAAGTGCTATGGCCTTGGCGGTACATCCTGGGCTTGGTCGTTCAACGCTATTCCCACAGACTGGAATCTGGAAACTCGAACTCACAAAGATGGATACTGCAAAACGTTAGTTCACGCCTGGAACTCGAATGGCGCAAGCACGGTGTGCCATGGCGCAGCCGTAAACAACCTGAAGTACACGGGTGCTGGATACAGTTTTGCCAATAAGAAGAGGTCGGAAGACACTGTTTTCAACAGCGAAGACTGCATCTGGAAGCCTGACCTTTTGACGCTGAAGGATGGCACAACATACATGCTTACGGATGTTGAGGACGAAACCGTGAAGATCATGTAAGAGAATTTCTAGACACCGGACATGACCCTGGATATGATACACTAACTGCATCTTCCCATAGACTCGCATATGGTGACAACACCACGATTGCCGAAAACATGCCAAACCTGTTCGACAAGTACATTACACAGGAGCGTCGCTGAGCGCCGGCAAGATCGGCTTTTGGTGGTCCCTAGTGGGATGCCTTGGTTGAATACATCCAATCAATCCCCTTCAACGTTACTGCAACCACGCAGAGCAGACGCATTCACGACTTCCAAAGCTCACATCACACGTATTCAATCAGGACCCCTGAAACAAGAAAACGAGTAAATGAGATGATCCGACAGATTTTGGGCGATCAATCCAAGAGAGACTCATCTCGCTGTATACTATTCGGACATCACACAAGTTTATTTAGATTGATAATCGTCCTACTCCGTTCCCACTGCTTCTCATGTTCATATCTTTTATGTTTGGTAACACTTGGAGGATGATGATGGTCTTGCTAATCATCGTCCCTGCATTTGAGTGATGTCGATGTGTGAAGGTGGTAAGCCCAACCAAAGGCAATTCTCTTGCCTTACCCTCTGGAATGCTCTCTCAACACCACATCAACCATCATTCTCGTGGCACATTCACCTTCACAACACCATGCTATTGTTGGCTTACAGCGCAATAAAGAAGCATCAAGAATTTGGATAAGCGCTAGGTTATTGTGCAGCCGTGAACTCAATAGCAACAGCGTGGCATTGTGCTGGCGCACCTTCCACCTTCCGACTTGGTATAACCAGTCCTTTCCGGATTACGCCAACCTTCCCACAATGTCGCATCGCTGTGTTATGGTCAATACAATTGACCTATAGAACAAAGTCATTTTCTCTCTCTCACACACTTTTCATCGTTACCAGAAACATTTGCCGAACAAACACAGGTACAAATATGCGCACGAAATTATCGTTTACTACGACCCTGGCGGCTCTGGCCATCCTAGGAGATGCGCACGGAGACCATGCTAACGACAGCAGGCAGTACACGCTAACAGACGATCTTAGCTACAAGAACTTCTTCTCCGCCTTTGACTTCTTCAACGAAACCGACCCAACCAAAGGCTTTGTCAATTATCAGAATCAGGAAGATGCGACCAAGCAGGGCCTAATAGGCTACCTTGAGGACACAAAGTCCGTGTTCATGGGTGTAGACTATACCACTAAAGACCCTACTGGCCGCGCTTCTGTTCGCCTTGAAAGCAAAAAGAACTGGAATCATGGACTACTCATCGCAGACATCCGCCATATGCCTTCGTCGGAATGTGGCACTTGGCCAGCATTTTGGCTCTTATCGTCTTCAGTGCAATGGCCGAATGGCGGGGAAGTCGATATCCTCGAGGGTGTTAACGACTACGAAAGCAACTCTGTTACTTTGCACACAACCAAGGGCTGTGTTGTTGATAACTCGACTGCGGCTGGAGGAGGATTGGGTGCTGTAGGTGGTGATAACAATGCGCCATTTACTGGTCTTATGAGTACCGACGACTGCGACGTCGCCGCACCTGGCCAAGAGAAGAACGTCGGATGCTCTATCCACGCTCCTGACACCATGCCTGGTATCCAAAGTGGCGGCGGTAGCGGTAGTTCCGACAATACTGGCGCCGCGCCTCTCCCATCTTATGGTACCGAATTCAACAAAGCGCAGGGTGGTGTCTATGCCATTGAATGGGCCGCCACCAGCATCTCAGTTTGGTTCTTCCCCCGCGACTCCCCGGGCTTCACGGATAACTTCTCTTCGAACACCACGGCTCCTGATCCATCAACCTGGGGCACTCCTATAGCGCACTTCGGCGGTGCTGGCTGTGACTTCTCTGAGCGCTTCAAAGATCTTCAGATAATCTTTAACACCGCCTTTTGCGGCGAATGGGCTGGCGCCGAGTGGGATAAGTCTTGTGCCAAAAAGACCGGTGTTGCTACTTGCAATGAGTATGTACGCAATAATCCCCAAGCCTTTGTGGAGGCGTATTGGGAAGTGGCGGGATTGAAGTGGTTTCAGAAGGGTGCTGCGTAGAAGAGGAATACTATCATACCCTCCTTCTAAGCTTGTGCCAGTTATCCATGGTCTAGTCGTCGATGCCAATACGGAATATTGGTGATTCAATTGGTAAATTGACCATATGTTTATCAGCCGCATGGGCGGTGTATCGAAGCCGCGAGCTTGTCCTGTTTTCTATGTCTCTCAGCTTTTCGCGCAACTTTGGAAATATGATCTTGGCACATGACTCTCGAACGGCCGTTCATCCTGAGATAAATTCATCACCTTGGTTCCGCCGAGAAAAACCGATTGTTGCAGTGCATACCTAGGGTATGCCGTTTGAGCCGTGATAGTTGAAACGAGCGCTTCCCAATCGATCTAGCAGTGTAATGACTGATATTGATCATCATTCTTGATAACTTCTTCTATCGGGTTTTGACAAGCATACGTAGTGATACAACAGATGAAAAGCGTTGCAGTCGGTTGGAGATGGCTTCATCTCACGCGTCGCGGACGCGTCAAACCGCGGGATGGTCTAGCCGACACAGGTTAGAGTGGGAATCGTTTGTCTGCAGCACTTTTCGTCCACTTGTTGCATCTCACCGCAACATATTGCAACATCAAAGTCATCCCCTCCATGTCGGTATCTTCATCTGGTGCCTTCTCGAATTTCTATTCGGCAATATGGCTACTCAAAAACGATTAAATGATGCTGCACGTCTGACGCTACCAAAGACCGTGTTTACCCTGAGCAAACTACCAGAGTACGAGCTCCTTGACGCTTGTGCTTATGAGAATATACTAATTATGGATAGTCTAACTAGCGAAGTCGTTCAAGTGAGGCTTGGACACTTTATTTACGACTACATTCAGCCTCCCGCACAGGTTGATCCATGTCAGAGCAAAATAGATGATTTCTTCTGCAAAATCCCCAAGACCGATAAAGCAGACAATGCCACTGGAAAGGTTGACTCGGCAAGTGATACGGAAGCCAAGAAGAACGAAGATATGTTCCACGTGCATAAGAACGTTTTGTGTAAAACGTCCGCATTCTTCCAGGCCGCTACAAAGCAGGTATGGCGGGGCCGACCTCGAAAACCTATCGATCTTACCACGGAAAACGGAGAGGATTTTAAATGTTATGTACAATGGTTATACAGTGGCAGAATCGCGATAAGCTACAACCCAGATCCTTAGCAAAATGACTCAAACGGTTCATATCCCCCTTTGGACGATCTCATAGACCAGTACCCCTTAGGGGGTAGGATCATGGATCCAACTTACCAGAATTCTGTCATGAAGGTTTCCATAGACTGCATAACTACGGGACTCCGCTTCGATCGTGGAACCTACGCGATTCAGAAAGCGTACAAAGGCACTATGGCCGGTGATCCGATGCGAAAGCTGCTTTTGGATTTCTGGATTTGGACAGCGGATGAAACTTGGGACGTTTCTGATATCATTGAAGATGCGGGCAAAGAATTTACCCAGGAGTTGCTGGCTGCTTTGCTGGCGAAGCGCACACATCCTGGATGGTTTGGCAAAAATAGGCACATGAGGCCATGGACTGATCCTCAAACCCAAGGAGCGTATTACATCAAAATTCCTGATGGCAAGAAGAGCGTTACTGCATAGCGAGATATCGACACACACCGGTGGCAGGCTGCTACTAGATTCATATTATTCTCCGGTACCTAGATATCACCATCGCCTCACATCTTGTAGCCTACGGGTAGAACTGCGCAAAATTACACCGACTTATTTCCATTCAGTGCACGGATGAATCACCACGAGTACCCTGGTCCCGGTCCGGCCGTAATCGCTTGCCCAAGGAGCAGCTACAACGCAGCCCTTCACTACGTACAAATGCGCAACGCTAATCCCAGAACCTGATTAGCGCCGGTGCGCTCTCACCTCAAGTTGTCACTTACCGTAGAACCCAACACCTCGCATTTGTTACGCCTCCAATCGACTACCAGAAGCTAGGCTCGTCAACCATGGCGCCCCCAAACGAGCAACCAGCGAAGCGCCGAAAGCTTCTGCCTCAGGGCAGTGCTGATTCTCGTGATCTCCTTGAGTAGGTTCAACATACAAATGGGTTTGTTTTGGAGCAATTCTAATGAGGTATAGTGTAGGTAGCGAGATACTCATTGTCAAGGTTGGGGGTGGTGACGACCCTGTCGAACCGAACGTAGCAGGCGAAAATTGCGACAAGCCCGAGCACAGCAACGAAAGTGACGACAGCGATACCGACTCAGACGTTTCCGAGGAGCGCATCTTTCACATCCACAAAGGTGTTCTCTGCAAGACGTCCGCTTTCTTCCGAAATGCAACGAAGCCAGAATGGACTGCTCCAACACCGCGCCCTATAGATCTTTCTGACGAGCGTCCGGATATCTTCTATTTGTATGTACAATGGTTGTACAATGGGAAAATCGCTGTCGAGACCATGTCCTCCAGTGACTCGGATGCGGAAGTTCGCAAACACGAGAAGGTGAATTTTCATTCACTGATTCAGTCGTACATACTTGGCGAGAAGCTCATGGATACCACATTTCAGAACTCAGTCCTGAAATGTTTGATTGAGTGTGTAAAGCAAGAGGATAACTTCCTCAGCGACCTTACCGTTAAGTTGGCCTACGAGCGCACGACAAAACACTCGCCTCTTCGCAAATTGTTGGTCGACTTCTGGGTGTGGTACGGCTGCTCTGATTGGGCGGCCGATGACATGAATGAGGATCTGGGGACCGAATTCACGAATGACCTACTTAAGGCTGTGCTAAAAGTGCGGGCTGGCCCAGATGAGGAGAAAGACAGGGTCGAGCTTCCTTGGCTGGCACATCCAGAGACCTACAGCATAAAAGATAACATGGAGACAACCAAGGGTACCAGCAACAGCGGTGGTATAAAGGCTAGAGGGGAATGTGTCAGCAAACGCTACTGATACTTGTCAAAGAAAGGATTGTGCGAGCCCTTTAGGATGCACTGTGTTAATAGGCTACTGCATAGAAAAGGAACTGTTGTATATTGCTGCAGCTTGAGGCTTTTGCTGGCTAGTTTGCACGCATATCGCAGGTCAGAGCAAGGGCATATAATTGATAATGAAACGAGAGTATCATCACTGACGGCTAGCATTTGCTCATAACTTCAGTGCCGTACTTCCTTTAGATCGTGTATCTGAATCTCGGGCTGTCATCGCCCATCTCTGCAACATCCTCATCACTCATCCCTTCAATGAGATGCTCTTCCTCACCCTTCTCACGTCTCGAGTTGATGCGCCCAAGATGGAACCACATGACAGCGTAGCATATACAAGCAAAAGCCACCATGGCCATAGTGATACCGTGGCCCTTGACGAAGCGGGGGCGATCAGCCGTGGGATAGATCTAGCGATCCGTTAGCAGTGTTTCCACGTGGAGCCTAGTGATTACGAATAAACTTACAAAAGCACTCATGATACCCGCACAATTACCGATGCTCAACTGCAACCCTGTCGCAGTGGTTCTCTTTCCATATCGCGGCAAGTTTGTAGGTAGCCAAGCTAATGGTAGACCAACGCACACATACAAGCCCATTGCGACAAGGAAGCAGCCAGCGTAATGCACGCCAGAGCTGGCGTCGCTGATCAGCATGGCGTATCCGACGATACTCACCACACCGAGCAAGATGCTATAAAACCCACGCTTTTGCTGTTTATCGGAGAAACGCGCTACAACCAAGTAGGTGATTGCACCTAGTGCATAACACGGAATCGTAAGGACCTGCACCATCGCGCTGCTGGCGGTAGTGTTGATTGACCTGATAATTGTCGGCAGGAAGGTAGAGTAGCCGTAAAGCATGGTATCGCTTCCGAATTGCGCAAAGCAGAATACCCAGACTTTCCAGTCCTTGACGCACTTCCTTACATCCTCCCAGTGAAATTCCGCTGCTTTCTTGGTGTACCCTGTCTGGCGCTTGAGGCGAGCGGCGGCGAAAGCCTTCTCTTCAGCGGTGAAGAAGTAGGCAGTTTCCGGGGTGTCCGGCAGGATGAACCAGGTCGCGATACCCAGGACGAAGGTAGGAATACCCTCGATGATCATGATCCAGCGCCATCCGCGTAGGCCAGCCGTACCATCCATATGTCCAATAGCGTACGCAAGTAGTCCGCCGCATGCTCCGGCCAGGGCAGCAGAGACGAAGAGGTATCCGATGCGTAGAGCAAGTTCGCGCTTGGTGTAGAAGAATGTCAAGTAAATGGCCATTCCGGGGAACAACCCTCCTTCCACGGCGCCAAGAAGAAGACGGCATGCAATTAGACCGCCGTAGCTCTGCACGATACCGGTCAAGGTCGCGATGATACCCCATGCGACAGTGATAAAGGCTATCCATCGCGAGGGCGTAAGTTTCTTCAGCACCAGATTCGATGGTACCTCGGACAGGATGTACGTGACGAACAGAATAGAGACGGCTGTCTGGAATTGAGAATCTCCCATATTTAGATCTTCTTGTAGACCATATAGACGGGCATTACCGATGTTGACCCTGCAATCGCGTAAGCAAGTTCCTCGTGCAAACTGCTGCAGACTCCCAATTGCATCCAGCCCGGATAGACGGCGCATTAATTAAAAAGATCCAAACTCACCTGTCCAGAAAACTGAGCAAGTACAACAGCATTACCACCGGAATGACGAAAAGATCCAGCTTGCGCACAATCTTCGCTTCCAAAACGGGGTCAATGCCTTCTAGCTGCCTGCCAATCTCATCGCTCTCCTTCGCGGCATCAGGCACAGCCGGGTCGTACTGTTTCTCGATGTCGCTCATGGTATCGTCAGGCGTCCTCGCCTAATAGTGGCTCGGAGAATTAAGCAACAATGATGATCGATGACTCCACGTGAGGAAAAACGGTTGTCGCGTTAAAAACGCAAGATTGCGGCAAATGCGTCAGGAAGGGGTGGTGAAGAAAAGAGCAGCGAGCGTCGCGTTCTTAATGCATCCGGCCGAAATACTGATCCGTCATCACGTAGCAACTCCACGACTTTGCCACGGAAGGGAAATGCTCATGCTTTAAATTCGTCGACGGCCTACGGCTTCGACATCGGACGAGTCTGCAAGGGGCCCACTCTGAACATGTCGCCCGCGGGCAGATCCATGGCGGGGGGCTGGAGCCAATGGAGCACCGAGCTAACGGTTTGTGGTATGACGTTGACGGCTACCCTGCCAGTAACACAGATACGACTGCTGGACAACTGATAACGAACCACACGCGTCGCTGTGGCCTATTGTCTGCCAATGTTCCAAGGTTGGGGGAGATATCAGACAAAGGATGGGGGTGCTCGCGTGCCCTTTTGAGAGAAGTGGTGGGGACAGGCATCCGGTGTGGTTTGACATGTTCGTCGCGTTAGTCCGCTGTCATGCATCGCTTAGGCAATGCGATTAGTCCTGTCTGACCAAACAATTGCTCCAACAGGACTTGGAGACGCGATTGCATCACATCACACTTTGTTGTGCAGATCAGCGCTGATCCTGAACGTGTTCCACAACACGAGCTAATCACTAATTGATACCATTTGAGTGGGGATTGCCATTCTCAAGCAGACAGACGCCCTCATACCAACTCAGACGATGTCAGCGACGGATAACTAAAGGGCGTCGTATCCCAATCGATAGGCAGTACGATACCAGAGTATATGTCGATCTGCGCTGAGGGATCAACAGGCCATCCCAGGTCGTCGCGCGGAAAGTCGATCTCAGCCACTGCAGGTTCCGTATCCACGCTCACGGTATGCTGGACGCAGGTACCGGCAAGACTTGACCGTGCAATCGCACGAACCTCCTTTGCCATTTTCATTCCGAGTGGCCATATAGTTCCCATCGTGTTCAGAAAGCCGATGCTGAGACGCACACGATCTCGCGCTATCGACAGCGCGTGTCCATCCAATAGATAGGTGCATACAGACACTTGTGCTGCCGCGAGTTGCGCGGTTAGGCACATGATAAAAACATTGTGCTTTTCGAGAGCGCATGGGATTGCGAGGAGTTTGGTATGCATTTCGGTCGCCTTGAGCACACGTGCGGTATGTGTGTTTCGCCCAGCTCTTGGTGTCAGCGTAAAGGGAGAGGGAGGTAGAAAAGACTGCGTGGTCATCTCTCGAGGAAGGTGAGCTAGTGATGAGAAGGGCCTATGCAGTGTTGAGATTACTCTGTCCTTGTTAGTATGACAGTAGCAGTGCATGGAGGAACGAATTACATCGCAGCACACATATGTGCCATGTACCTGTTGCACGTATGATTAGCGATCATGTTTTCGTCCGGCTGACGGTGTGGCATACATCACCTCATCTACTTGGCCATCGGGTCGAAGCGGGTCCTTCTTACAAGCTGGTAGCATCGCCGACCAGATCGCCAATTTCATGTCGCAGTTCTCGGTCATCGTTTCGCTAAATGTAGCAGTGTCGATAAAGGACTTCATGGCTGGAACTGTTAGACACCATTCGAAGTAGATAATGGCTCTCATTGAGTACGTCCGCCTGTGGTCTGTACTTACTGCAAGCGATGATCATTCCGATATCATAAAGATATACGATTGAAGAGTAAACGATCTCAATCTCTGCGAATTCACGGGCCTGGTACTCAGCCCAAGTCATCAAAGGCGGGATGTTCTGCTCATGTCAGCTCTTATCTCTATCTGCGCACTATCTCGACATACACCTGACTCAAAGTACTCATCATCGCATGGCAAATCAACGTTGCTGGATGTGAGAAGTAGTGTGTAGAAGGGCGTGTTGGTGACAAGGGCGAAGTTTTGATCCACAATATAGAGTACGTAAAACGTTCGCCTCCAACACTCTTCCAGTACAGCGCTACCGTCTCCATACGCTCGAGCAAAGTCTCTTTCGTTCATACGCAACTCTAATGCAATTGTGATAGCTTTATCCAGGTGCTTACGAGCCTCGGCTCTGGAAATGCTGTGGAACTCAGCGAGAGCAAATAGCAACAGCGCTTGAACATTGAATGGTGTATGCGCCAGGTCGGGCGACGTGACAGCTTCTAATGCTGTCATTTGATAGGGTTCCGATGGAGTCCAAGGGGCGTAGATTGATCCAATCCATTCCAAGACGGATAGTAGTGTGGTCATTCCATGGTTCTCGTGTAGGCGCCTGGCTTGCAGATAGTGGAGAGGCAGTACAACTGGCCATGAAGACCAAAAATATTCGAAGTACAAATCGATGAGTCGTTCATTGTCGACTTGGAAGATCATTCGATTTCGCTGGCTCTCGTTCCGTCCACGAAGAGGTATGGAAGAACCTGATGAACCGCTCTCAAAGGATCCCAGGCTAGATTGGTCGGATGGGGATGGCGCTGGTAACTGGAGTTTTCCGCTGGTCATGTTTTTGGGTTCTTGTTGCAGTCGTAGACGTCGCTCCGCAAGTGCAGCTTTGCTGAGACCTCCTCTTTTGGATTTTTGATAGATGCATTCTTTCCCGTCGCGCCTGCATCGGTTGCAGGCGGGTTGTGTGGAGTCACACTTTACGTGTCTATTGCGGCACTGGATACAGGCCAGCACTACTCGTTCAATTCGTTTCGGATCCGACGATAGCTCCATGGTTGGAGAAAAACGAGAGGAAGACCGTAGGTTGCGATGGGATCACGGCCGTAATTGGGGGCACCGCCAAAGGAGACCTTGCGCGCCAACCATGGAAGGTCAAAGTCAAGATAATCCAAAAATAATCATACATTCCGGTGAGTGGAAGACAAGCACGACGCGTAGGGCTGATCTGACTGGTTAAACAGCGTGTCAAGCTGGACGCCTGCCGACTCGGCAAGAGTCGGATGAGCATCAGCATTGGGGGCCGCTCCTTCTTCATTAAGACGTTACATTGAAAACCACAGATTCTCAACATGGTTTAGGCATGAACAGAAAGCGCCTGCGTGCCACACATTCAAGAATTCAACTTACATACATAG